GGCAAGGACGCTCTTGACTTGAGCATTGGTGTATGATTTGCTACCGTACTTCAGACCGCTTCCAGCCTTGTTGGCGGCGAGAAGATCCGAGATCCAGTAGATGAGCTGATCAGGGCCTCCGCGTTCGCGTGCGTGCATTCCAGCGGAGAGATAAAGGCGGTACTTGGACTTGTCGGTGCCGGCGCCAACGTATCCGGCGGTTTGCGTAGCGCCATTGAAGGTCTTGTATGGCAGAGTGACGGTGCTGATACCGTATCCGTTGACGAGTCCCTTGATGGCAGAGTTGATCTCGGTGGGATTCATGATGCTGCTCATGGTCGATCCCGTAGCCTTGGTGCCAAGACCAGACGGTGTGACTGAACCGCCCGACCAACGGTCGCCAGTGCCGATCGGTGCGGTGGCAGCCCTCTTGCTGAGGTCACGACGGTGTAGGCTGATCTCTGCATGGTTCTCGTACTCTTTGGAAAGGTACGCGATTTGGTCCTCGGTCAGCAGGGCGTGGAGCTCGAAATGGCCTTCTTTCGATGGCACCGCCTTGGGTCTGCAGCCAAGATCGTATGTGCCATTGTTGACGATGTCGAGAAAGTGTGCTGGAGAAGGCGCGTTGAAATGAACAGGCAGAAGGCTACCGAGTACGGTAGTGCTCTGAAGTATCAGAGCTGCGGCAAGAGCGTACTTCATGTTGAGTCTGCTTGAGGTGAAGGATATGGGGAACGTTAGAATGAAGTTGCCGGTGCTCTACAGTATGTCGTGAAACAACGTTGTTTTTATACATTCCTTCCATTTTGGTGTAACGATCGACCTTCTCCTAATGGCCGGCAGGTGATACTCTAGCATAAACGTGTCGGAGGTGCCATGGTGTCGCCTGCCGCTGATTGGCCGACTTCGCGAATTACGCCGGGCGCTAACTTGATCTCCTTCTGCTTTCGTCCTGTCTCCGCTGAAACTCCAGATGCACCTGCCCGGGAGGATCAAGTAGATCCAGAGATGCATGGGCAATGAGAGGACCTGCCCTGGGTGATGTGCAGCACTAGATAAGATAGATTAACTGGCCCTGAAAAGCAAGCCCTTTGGGGCAAAGTTTAAAGCTGGATGGCCGGACGCTATCGTGAAACGGTGATTTCCATCTGGGCATTCCAGGGGAAGCAGGTGGCAGGACAAGACGGCTTCACCAAGCATACCTGCTGGCCATAGAGGTGACGCTGTGTGGTTATACTGGGTTGCGCCATACTGGGTCGCGTCGGTAATCGACGGGTGTGCGCTCGCACAATGCATCCACGAGGTATCGTCCGAAGACTGATCGCTGAGAAAGGATGCAAGTCACAAACGTGCGACTTGCATTTGGTGGTGCGGATACTCAAGCCTCGGGCGATGCGGGTATCCGCCGCCAAGAGGGCCACGTGCCTGAGTCTAAGCAGGGGCAAATTGTCCGGGCTCTACCTAGGTACGTCACCGTCACGCCAAACAACTCAACATGCTCCATGCGACACGCGACATGCGTGACAGAATCTCCCTCTGCAGATACCAGTCGATTGATGAAAAACGATGTACGACACGCCTGTGACCCTGGTATGCTTTTTACGCGTGTCGGCAAAAAGCAGCTCCGCCGGGGACAATCACACTTCCGCCACCCTATCATGCTTCAAGAATCGAAGGATGCGCCATAAGCCGGAACCCCCCGCCTCTCCATGTCGAACACGATCTCGTGTGTGAATCGCTTTTTGCTGACGACCAGCACAGCTTCTGCGTTATCCCCACGTCATTCACGTGCAGTTGTCACAGATCAGACCGCATCAATCATGGGAGTAGCCGAGTGGCGGTGATCAAGCAACGATACGACTTCTATACGCACGCGGTCAACACGCGACTCGGGAGGAACAATTGAAGCGAAGTCGTTCAGCAATCCAGCTATACCTAGATAGCTAACTAGATCCTTTCTAGGTGCCGTTGGCCGGTTGGTGATACTCCACGCCGTCGATCGTCGTGGTCAACGTTCCGTATGCTTCGAGTATATTCTTCATCACATCGATCCTCAAATGAAACCCGGCCGGGCCAGTCTTCTTGCTTCCAGTCGCCGACCCCGTCTGCGAGATGTCAGAGTACCAATCAAGCTTCTGGTCCCACACATTCGGAGTCGAAACCGTCAACTCGACGTCTTCCCAGCCGTCGATGACGTGCTCGCCATCATTGGAGAAGTTGGTATAGTTGGCAGCGACACGCTTGACGGAGTCTGCTTGTGGATGTGCCGTGTTTCCGATGAGCTTCACTTTCGCAAACCCAGAGATCTTGCCATGGAGTGTGTAGTTACCTGGCTTTAGTGTAAGCTGCGAAGGGATTTTGGCTCCTGATGGGAACGGCGTCGCCCACAGTATGCGACAAGGCACCTTATAAACTGGGGCTGGATGCGCAGGCTTGCGGTTAGGCATGCGAGCGAGCATGACACGGTACTCACGCCCACCTGGCGCAGTGGAAATTGGGCACTGCAGCGGATTAGTGCCACCACAAGCCGGCGATGTAGCGATAGCCTGCCAGTACACAATGCGTGTGCTGTCCAAAGAGAAAGCTGGATCCGCTCGGCCGTTCCAATTTGGGTCGCTAAAACCTCCCTCACTACCATCACCTCTCCCGTTGACCTGTTGCCCGTAGTACGACTCACGATCCCCGTAGCGATCTATCAAGATTGGTTGGAAGAAGCGACGTGGACCATTGTTGCGTGTAGATGCGGCTACAGCAACGGCAACGATGTCGATGAGAGGCGGAATACCTCGCATACCCGACATCCACATCTGGCGCTTGCTGGCACGCGTATCCTGAGTGACGAACCACTCGTCATCGGCAGAGAAGGCGATAGGATCGGCGTAATCAGGGTGACTGGTCAGACGGCGAACAATCCCAGTCTCGATGTGGACCGCATACAGATCGATGTTTGTCGACTCGGTTGGCGCACCGATGTAGAGTATCTCGTCGCCAGAACCACTGAAACCCCGCAATTCGCCGATTGTGATTGAGTCGGGGTGAAGCTTCAACTCTTCGCCATCAGCCGTTATGAAAGCTCGGCGTTTTGGGTCCACGAGCAGGTCGACATCAACCAGGTCATAGCGAGGCGCACCAGGGCCCGACCCTGAGGGTCTCGCATTGAACTCCAGACGCCCGAAGTAGGAATATTGCCCAGCGTCGTTGGTGAACGAACTCCAACCAATATGGACATCGTCAGGGTGTATACGCAGCTCACGCGGACTGCCACCCGACCAATGAATCGGATAGATATGAACATTGTCAGGCGTACAATCATCGCTAGCCAACTGCTCCCCGTTGCAGTCGAGGATGTTGTGGCCCCAGATCGCTTTGTCGCCGCTTCTGAAGACATGGGGATAGTCCCGTCGTGGATCCAGTTCTTTTGCGTTCTCAGCCGGTACCCCACACGTTAGGCACTTCCACGCGTCGCCATTGCTAAAGTTTGAGCTATCAGCTTTGATAAGGATCAACTGAACTCCATCGTAGATGCTGACCGGGTCGGGAGCCACGGGGGCTCCAACGAAGGTCACCGTGACGATGACGTTTCGGCCGTCCGGAGTGAAGTCTCCTGCTTGGAACTTCTCGGTAAGTTCTCTCGCGATGCAGCCGGTTTGATTTGGACATGCGCCAGGGTCTTGGCTTGGAGAAACTGGAGGTAAAGGTAGTTCGGAGATGTCAAATCTTTCGGGCTTTGGAGGCTTCGGAATGTCTAGCGGGGTGTTGAGAACAGCTTGTTGATCGTCGTTACTGGCTAGCAGCTGGTGACTGCTTTGATACGGCAGGAGGGCGCTTGCGCCAAGAGCAGCTGCAGCTGCAGCTGTGTATAAGTGCAGCAATACCATTCTGTAAACTGTGGCCTTGGCCATGGGAACGGCTTGGGATTGAAGGCATCATGGTGGGTCATGCGGCAGTTGTTTTATAGATGATGCAGAGTGAAGCTTGCGGTAGCGCACCTCAATACGCCGAATACGCGATACGCGTACTGTGAGCTTTGACCCCCGCCACGTTGTTGTAGGCCGCGCGTGCCCAGGTGGCCTGCGACCGCAACACCACGTCATGCCACAACGGATCTGAAGAGGTGCTCGGGAGTCTACTTTTACACAAAACAAAAGCTCTAGGTTGCTTCAAGGCGATGTAGCCCTCTGGGGTATTCGCGGAGAGCTGCGCAGAACGAGGCCGAAGCGATTGAGTTCGCACGGTAATCGGATTGGATGTCCGCGAACGCGGCAATCTCTGTACATATGGCCACGGGGAGGATCGAAGTGTTGGAACAGCTTCCCTCCTGAGACCCAAAGCACGACATCCTTTCCCCTCGAGATCCCAGTTTCATGCAAAGCTACTGACATCCCTGGGAGACTTGTATAGCTTGAGCTTCAAATCATCGTCCGTACCAGCTTCCGGTCGCAGTACTCTTGCATCCAAGAACTGGACTAGGAACTTGTCGACTACCATGTAGCCCATAATCTGCAGTCGAGGCGCGTGTTTCCGGAAATAGTCTAGGTAAGCTGCTGCGTATGCTACCGTAGAGCTATTTGCTTTTTTGGTGAGCTCTCGTAAAGACAACAACAGGTACGCAGGTGCGTATGCTGCGTGAAGGAGCCCTGGTACGAAGTCGCTCTCTTCAGGGACTGCAAGCCTTTGGGAATAAGGGATCAACCTCCACCATCTGACGATTTGTTGCCCCGAGTGCTGGCCAGTGGAAGTGAAGGAGCCGGGAGGGATACGACGCAGTCACTTCTGGGAGGCGCGAGCATACTAGCGGGGCCGGGAGGATACAATGTGCTATTCTCTTTCGGAAGCATCTTTGGAACGATTACCAGTGATGTGGTGATGGATGATGGTGAGTCGACGTGACTGCCGTTTGCATGTCTTGGCATTGTTGTGGTTGTTTACGAAATTTCTTCGCCAGTGTCTCACTCAACCACCCATACTACACAATACCCGAAAACTTCTCTTCTGCCCAAAACCCGCTTCTAGTATTTACAATGGCCTTCTCACGTCTACAGAAGTTGGTCGACAATGCAGCTGCACAGCTCGACGAAGAGCTGCTAGCTGGACTGCCGTTCACGGTCAGAACTCCATCTCCAAGGCGACTTCTGAAGCTGATGGTGGATCACGCTACCGATCTGAACGTAAGCTCGTGTGATCTACCTAAATTCACGACATGCTAACGATGTCAACTAGTTTTACGCCTGGGAATATCAACATCGCACAGCTGCGGAGTTGTTCTTTGGAGACTACACTGAGGCGCTTGTTGCCGGCGGCCACCTCAAGCTTGACCATAGGCCCGCTTCACCTACTCTAGCTACACCATCACTGGCCCCTACGCCAATAGCTACTCCTCATCAATCAATAGCTGCCACTCAACGAGAGGCTTCTCACGAAGCTCTAGTACTTCACTTGCGGCGAAGAAAGGCTTCACGCAGCAGCATGTGGGAAGCTTCTCAAGCCCATGAAGCTTTGGGAAATGCAAAGCTCAAGCTTTGCGATAGCTTCTTCCGAAGCGCACGCGGTTGTGTTCGAGGTTAGTCCTTCCATATGAGCCATTTCTGCATCATGTATTGACATACGATAGGGCATATGTGCGAGCTTTCGCACATTCACCCTACCGAGCTTCAATTCGCCGCAATGGAGCGATACAACCCAGCCTTAGCTTCCTATCTGAAGCAAGCTTGTGAACTTCGGCTTCCGGAGTACACTAGCTGCTTCCCAAACTACACGGAGTGTGCCCGATATATACCGGGGTACGATACCCCAATGCGGCGTCCCAGTCAGGCTCGATACCATTGAGCTGATCGAGCTGATCCGCGACATGAATGAAGAACAGCTTTCCTTCTTCTTGGAAACGGATGAGCGAGCTGCGCCTCTGGTCACGAAGCTCCTCGACATCAACGACAAGGATCGGGCCGAGTTCGCGAGCTTACAGCGAACGCATGCCACATTCCTCAGGCTGTATCCTAAAGCTCAAGCCTAGTTTTCGTTCGAGCTCCACGAGACAATTCTTCAGCTTGAGAAGAACAGAGCTCTGCACGCCCAGGTCGAGCACCTAACTCTTGAGCTGGAGTTGGAGAGGGGGGCAAAGCTTAGATTCAAGGAAGCTGCCGAGGGGCACGTGGAGCTTTCGGTAAGTCGACGTGCTGCGCTTAGTAGCGCGTGTGCGCAAGAGAGGTAAGTTTCTGTCGTATCAATTGTACTTGACACTTGTACTAACTTCGTCTTACAGAATGCGCGGCGAGCTCCAGGCCAAGCTTGACCTCTCGATCGAGGCTGCCGCCATCTCCCAGGCTGCGCAAGAAGTCGCCGCAGGTCACCGACGAGCTTACTTCTGGCAGGGCTTCCTCCGCGGAGACAAGTGGGACAACAAGCTGCAACCGCTTCGGCGGCTTGTTGGAGAACCAAGCTCAGCTGCTTCTGCCACGACCTCTCGGCCTCCCGCGCCACTCTCCGACAAGCTTACACGTGCCGAAGCTTTCCACGAAGCTGTGGTCCTGCTCTCCTCCCCCCTTCGGAGGACATCAAGCTTACACTACGGGAGCGAGCTGCTCAGCTTTGGGAGCTTGTGCGCAAGACCGATGGCAAAGCTGCGAACTTGCCAGGTCGCTTCAAGGACAACAACAAGGCGGGAATGGCATATCGGCTAGCTGCACCTGCCGAGCTCAAGGCAGAGCATCCTTCCAAGGTCTACTTCGACCGGTCTTGGTCTCACGCTGTAAGTTTCTCCCCTACATAACATGATGAACTCCGCTCACACTCTCAGCGAAAATAGGCTACTAGCCTTCACGTCTGCAGCTGCAGCTCTTGTCTCCTTCTCGCCTCGGTCATCCCAGCTAATGACCATGTTTCCTCTTGCGTCCATAGCTAGATCAATCTCATGATCAATATCCTACTTGTGTGCTTGTGACGTGATACGTCTTGCAACATGACAGCTCACGCCTACTGCGCAGCCACTGTTCCATATCCCAACGACTTGCTTGTCGCGATAGTATTGAGCCCCATCGCGGCCTTCTTATGACTGGGCGCCCGGGTTGATGGACCACTTCCTGCAGCATTGGAGATTCATGTCGGCCAGGTCACATGATCGCTGCAATCGCTGCGCCCGGGCGGGCTCTGGGTGACCTCCAATTAGCGTGAACTCTGCGCCGCAACAGGGCCCGTGCACGTCGTTCACCCCGATCGGGTTTGCATATTGACCGACGCTGGACCTTTAGCACCTTCACCTTCTCTGCAATCCTCCCTCATCAGGACTTCCAACGACAATGGAAGTAAACACGCGCCCCGGCCCCCCATCCCCTCCAGCTGCGGGCGATGACTGGCCATATGGAGACGGCTTCCCAAATAAAGAAGTCGAAGCCGACATGAGGGCCATAGAGCAGGCCGAAAGCTTCTGGGCTACATACGCAGACCCCGACACGAGGAATGAAAAGTACAAGGTCCGGTTCCGCGACGCACTCGCTAAGCATATCGCGCGGTTGGAGGAGCTATGGGAAGCTGTAGCTTCATACAACGCGGGAAATTTCTCTTACACGTCGCGAGGCACAACAATGGACACCATACTGCGGGATCCCGAAACCCCTAGCTTGTGGGAAGGGCTTATTGCCGAGCAAGAGGCAAAAGACGAGAGCGATGACACTACGGAACCGCTCCATAAGCTGGAGCAGAAGCTTCGTCGGATTGCGCTGACTGGCATCCACGTGGGCAACCTCACCAAGAAGCACACCAAGACTGAGGAGGCAGCTGGAGGACCTGACATTCGGAAGCCCGTGTACGCTTCATGATCCAAGGACAAAAAGCGCTTATATCGCACGAATACGGGGAAGTTAGTATGCGAGCAGGATATATTGTGGTTGCCGAACACGACAGAACACGCAGCTATGCGGAAGGCGGAATACCGATGGGGGGACATCAGGGTAAGTTCATTATAATGTCTATACCTAGGTAGACATCAGTGTTCCCGGGTGTGCTAACCAATCATTGTCGCAGGGCGTACTGACGCTGTACGAGATCAAGCAGCTGACCATGACGGAGCTCCAATGGTTCACATTGAACTATGCTGTTAGAGACGCTGGTATCGCATGGAAGCGGCAGCTTTTACCGGAACATGACGACGCAGCTCGAAACATGTCGCAGATCATCTGGAAGCGGCGGACCGACACAGAGGAGCGTTTGGCAGCTGTGCGCATGCTTTTTTTGTTCGTGCTGGCGCCCATGGCAAGCTCGCTTTCAGAAGCCTTCTGCCTCTGGGTCCATCCGGGGATGTAGTCATAAATCGCCTTATGACTGTGAGCTACGGAACCATCATATCCTATTTAGTGAAACGGTACGTCTCTTTACTCTGTTTTCAGGGTTCGCTTGAGTGGCTTTGTGTGGTGATGTTGGCCGTGACTCAGAAGAGCAACGAGGCGAACCGCTGTTTTGGGTGGCGCTGCGCCCTTTTGCTGACTCCGACGTCGAAACAGTACCTTTAATGTTCGAGGCGTAGTCTTCGCGCACCAATAATAGCCCTCCGTCGAGAGCGCATCTGAGCTCGTCTGAAGCTGCGGTACCGTGAGCGGTCGGCTGTTCAGATAATAGGTCGTCATCGCAGAGTGCGCGTTATGATCGCATACATGGATCGCAATCCAATATAGTCTTAGAATGACAAGCGCATTCTAAGACTCAGAGGAGCTGGTGTTCCTCCGCACGCACATATAAAGTGACTCGTCCCGTCCAACGTTGCATAACGAATTCACTACCTGGACGAGAGACCCTGTTCAACACCAACACAAAGACTTCGCTTCTCCGACAAGAGCAACAAGACGATCCAAAGGTCACAAGAAGTTGCTACGGTTGTCAAATTTTTCTCTCAACACCACTCATCGACCCACAAGCTACCGCGTCATCTCAATGTCTACCACCACCAACAAGGCCGAACAAGCCGTCTCTTACGCCGCCTTGATCCTCGCCGACGAAGGCATCGCCATCACCCCCGAGAAGCTGCAAGCACTACTCAAAGCCGCTGGCATCGAGGACGTCGAGCCTATCTGGACCACACTCTTCAGCAAGGCTTTCGACGGCAAGGACGTCAAGGACATTATCCTCACCGCGACCACGGCCACACCAGCCGGTCGCGGTGACGCTTCCGATATCAAGGACGATGGAAAGACAACTGGAGAGGATGGAGATGACGAGAAGGACGGAGAGGAGGGTATCGATATCGACGCGGACTCGGATGATGGGTCTGCATTTGGGGATTTGTTTGGCTAGAGAGACATCGGAGATCGGAAGAAGGACACAGGGGAAGAGAGGCGGTCAACACCGTCTCTCGGGATGGATTGAGAAGAGTGCGAGAGTTTTGAGATGCTACGTTAGTTGCACAACAAACAAGGGGATCTTTCTCTCGCAAAACTTGCTACCTGTTTGATGTGCCTGACTGATCCTGACGCGCGCAACGTGCGAGGACGTTCGGCTTGATCCGTACTCTTCGAGTTGAGCTGTATGCGACCTGCTGACACTCCGATGGCTGAACGCCGCAACCTGCATACCGGCTTCGGTCCTGGTCTTGAAGCACTACGACTGTGATGGTGTAAAGTAATCATGTCGTATCCAAGGATTTGCGAACGTTGCGCTTTACTTGGCCGATATGGCTGGGTGTTGTGAAGAGACTTCTGAACGTCGAGCTTGAGGGCTGAGATGCGCGCTTCCCTCTCAAAGTCGGCAACGCGCTCAGGCCTGCTGCTGATCATAGATCAAGCTGATTCATGTTCCCCAATGCCAGGACACCGGAACGAGTAATAAGCACTCAACTTGAAAGCACTTGGCAACACCCATGGAGAATGTTCGGTATATTGATGGCAGGCGGTCAATGCAAATCGTATGTTGTTTGTAAGAGATGCGAGTAAGTTCCGCGTCTGAACATTTATCCTAGGCCTTGTTGCAGTGCGACGTGATGTGGTTCTAGAGTCCCCGAGCTACGACCGACCGAATATTAAGCTTTTGATTGCGACAGCTCGCGACCCCTGCTCGATCTGCAGCCATCTGAATCGAAACCCACGCCCAAGGATTGGGTGAGAACTCTCACCCCGCAAGAGTTTGCTGACAGTCAGCTCGGGCCCGTACGTTTGGGTCAAGAAACCCAAAATTGACGGGCCGCTGCGGCGGCTGTAGACAGAAGGTTTCTGTAATACAATTGCGCCATGATGAGCTTGCTGACTTCCAGGGTGATGAGCAAAAGTGTTGTGGCGTGTCGAAGTAGTGCCGCCGGCCTGTGCATAAGATGTGCACGCGATCGAGGAGCGCACTGTGAGTCGGTTCGGCGCATTCCGAGACAGCAGGCTAAAGTAACATACGACTGGTAGGTAACATCCGCAGTATTCTGATCTCAAATAAAGCGCACCGGTTCTTTTCTAGATCGGTCGACCTTGAGGTCAAACACGTCGGGTCGCTGATATCCGCCAACCACATCATGGTATTGTTTGCCCTCGATGCAGTCGTCAAGATTCATGTCGGCATACAATATGTCTTCTTGATCTTGCAATGCGGATACATGTTCTTTCTCCGCACCTTTGTAGGTGAAGCTAGGCAAAGGCGCGCCGGTAGGGTCCAGGAAGAAGGTCGCAGCTCGAGGCATAGCTTGAAGGGTCTCGGCTACTACATCCGCCTGACTTGCACCCTCGATGATCGTTCTGATAGCATCTTCACCAAGGTGGCCTGAGCATGCTACACCGAAACATTTTGCTTCGAAGCAATGTGCTGCAGCACGGGTCTTGTTTGCGGCTAAGTTGTCATAGTTTGTTCCACGCGCAGCGCTTGGACTCGACTGCAAACTGCTATCGTCGGCGGTTTGCTCGGCGGTTTGCGCTGTGTGACGCGAAGTTCTTGTCGGCCATATCGTCGGCCATGTTGATATATGAAGTTGCTCTGCTTGCGCGATCAAAGAGTACCTTGCAAGTGCATTAGTGTTTTCGCCACAGATTAACGCGCCGATACGCCCGTATTGCGTGTTGGCAACACGAAGCCCATAGCCGTCACCGCTACTCCATGTGAGTTTTTCGAAGAAAGTCGGGACCAGCTTTCGGTGGTGAACTAGGACTTCGCCTTCGGTACCGATGAAGATGTTCGAATTGTACAGGCAGCCGTTGCTGTGTCGTGACCTTTCGCTGAAGCCGATGCTCACTAGGATGTTATTCGACCGAGCCGCTTCGCGCAACGCCTCCATTTCATCGCCATCAGCATAGATAGATTCTTGTACCATACGCTGGAACAGGGAGTGGTTTTCAGTAGGGGGTCGTAGAGAACTCCAGATCGGAAAGGCAGAGATGTAGGTTTCTGGAAAGACCACGAGGTTGGCCTTGTTGGATGCCGCTTGTCTGATGAAGGATAGGGCTTTATCTGTTGTTTTGCGTGCATTGAGAAAGACAGGTGACGCATGACAGGCCGCAACGCGTAAGCTGCTTGCCATGACGGAAGGCTTCTTCTGTTTGTGCCCGTGTCTGTGAGTGAACAAAGAGGACAGTGTTGATGGTAGGCATAACCCCGCGTTAGCGGCACGAGTTCCCCGCACCTCTTGGAACCACGCAACCAGTTCATGTTGTCCTCACGAGCTCTGCAGGCTCAACGGTATTCAGTAATTGAGCTTGCTGCATCACTGGAGTGTTGCATGATCCCTGGCCGTCTCTCGGTTCCCGAAGTGGCTGTCACTACGCCAAGAGGAGGCATCGTTTCACGGACGGAATTTACACAAAGCTTTGCCTTCACGAAGCCCCCTAATTTCGTACGCTCAGAAGAGAAAGCCCCATCAGCCAAGCCATGGTTGATGTCCTATTAAGAGGCATCGAATGCGATGCTTTGCAGGGAGCGAGCAAGGGAAGACGGAGATGCGACCTGGGCGTAATCGGATTTGCCCGGTTCCCTGGCGGATAGTGCTGACACCCGTTCTTCCAGCTATGAATGTGGAGTAAAATCGATACACAGCGTTGGCCTGGGATGTTCGCCGTCGGTGGATAGACAGATGTGAGCAGGAACCCGTGGCCCGGTGGAAAAGAGCCTTGGCCGTTTCGCGCTAACTCACTAGCGTATTCAGGCTGTAAATTATCTGGGCCACTGTTCACTCCTTCATCGTTCCTCAGTATCATGTATAATCGTTTGTTCGCGCGAGAAAAGGTTCTTTCAGTAGGCGGTTAGGGGACGTGTGACTGTGCCGACATTGAAAGACCTGCATTACAGCCCACTGGAGTACAGGCGTAGCTTCGGAGCGGCGATCCGATGCGGTAGCACCGTAGGTACAACATCAATCGCAGAGAGTAGCCAATTTCCTGAGATAACGAGCATTTTTTCAGGAAGTCCGGTATGCACATAGCCCGATGCAGCATGTGTGTGCGATCGATGTTGCGACCTCGGGCCAAGGACAGCAATTAGCCGCCTTGCCACAACGCCCGACCAGAGCACACATGACACACGATCTTGATCATCGTTACGATGCCGTATTGATGGATCATCTCATTTTGATCTCAATATTTCTCATGTGAAGTTCGTCAGGAAGCAACAAGTTGTAATAACTCAGTATTGTCGTAATCCTGATGGGGGGATAACGACGTTGGTTGCATCATTTATTCATCATTAATCGACCAGAGCATAGCCCGTTGTTCTATCGCCATCGGTGACCAATGTAAGGCTTAGAGAAGCAGAGGAATCAAGGCGCTGCTTGCTTTGTCACCAGGCTGAAAAGTTGGAAGACGTTTCAGCCTAGCTCGTGGGATAAGTGACGTTCCAGGTCCGGCAATGTGCCGAGCAACCTGGGAATCCCACGGCAGTGACCGAAGCCACCTTCCACGTTTCGAGCTGGTTCCGGTACCTCAATCTCAGGAACTGTGCAGCCATTATCAATCTACTGACCAATCAAGCTACCGCGACGGCACCGATTGATGTGAAATTCCGCTGTGGGTCACCCGCGTGCCTGGACTGACAATCCTGACATGAACCACATCGGTCCGATGCAGCTTTCTGTGCCCTGTGCGTCCAATTCATGCTAAACAACAACCCAGTCGCGACCGCCTCTGGAGCGCTTGGCGACACAGCGGGACGTAGTGGTGCTCCACTTTAGACGTTTTGACAGGATTGTTTATCAGATGAAGGGACTTCGCGGCCCTTCTCCGATGACGCAAATGGTTTCGAAACCCAAGTTGGCAAGTAGCGCCATGTCAAGTCCAGTTTGGCACAGATGGTGTGCAGGCAAGGGTTAGATGGCATGCAAGATCTTGTGCCCAGAGCGACTTGCATGCGAGTAGGCACAGCACTGCCTGTCCCATGTCTCCCAGGCTTGACTGAGGGGGTATAAGAGTCTTGGGATCTTCCACTCATCCCATCTTTCACCCAAAGTCGATCTTTCCTGCTCTTAGATACCCCAACAGTACTCGCTCAAGATGCGTTACTCACTCCTTGCTTTCGCTACTTGCGCTCTGGCAGCACGCCCTTTCCTCAACGAACCCGATACTGGTATCGACGACCAGTTGGCTGGATTCGTCGCTAATGACACCCTACCTCCTCTCAAGTCTTTGGTCGGTCTGCCAGACTTCCAATGGGTCGGCCGCCAGCACATGAACACCTCCGCCTACACATACTACCGCAACGGAGCGGCTGGCGAATGGTCATACCGCAACAACCTCGAAGTCTTCTCCCGCTACCGATTGAGGCCTCGCGTCCTCCGCGACATCACCAACATCCAAGCCTCCATGCCCACGACTATTCTCGGCCACAACTTTTCAGCGCCCTTCTTCATCTCCCCATGTGCACGCGGTGGATATGCCAACGAGGATGGTGAGCTTGGGCTCGTCAAGGGTGCCGGCGAAGGCGACATCCTCTACATGACCTCGCTCTACTCGTCCAAGAGCTTGGAAGACATCTACGCTGCTCGCCCCAACGGCTCAGAGCAGGTCTTGTTCCAACAAGTCTACCTTGACGGTGACATGAACGACACCCAGGTCCTCTTCAAGAGGATCGAGGATCTTGGTGCGAAGGCTATTGTCCTGACTGTCGACTCTCCCGGTGATGGTGTCAGGCACCGTGCTGCCCGCTACGGTGTCGGTTCCGCCGACGTCAACCTGAGTCTCCTGACTTGGGATCTTTACCAGCAGCTGTCCAACATGACCTCCCTGCCTATCATCCCCAAGGGTATCCAGACTGTCGAAGACGCTCGCGAAGCCGTCAAGCAGGGCGTAAAGGCCATCTTCCTCTCCAACCACGGCGGCCGTCAAACCGACACTTCGCCCTCCTCCCTTGAAGTCGCCCTAGAGATCTACAACGAGGACCCTGAGATCTTCCAACAGATCGAGGTCTACGCTGACGGAGGTATCCGCTACGGAACCGATGTTCTCAAGCTCCTCTCCCTCGGTGTAAAGGCTGTCGGTCTCGGAAGGCCCTTCATGTACGCCAACATCTACGGCGCTGAGGGTGTCGCAAGGGCGACAGAGATGCTCAAGTACGAGCTCATCAATGACGCGGCGAACATTGGTGTAACCGACCTCAAGAAGATCGGCCCAGAGTTCGTGAACTGGAAGACTCCCGCTGTAAGCTTCAGCGTATAGACGGTGACGTCACCAGTTCTTGCTGCGCAGGAGCTCAAAAATTCCCTTCTCTTCAACTGGATGTATATACTTTTAGCGAACAATTTATCAATACTTTCTTCTACTTCAAACATGCCTTCGAGTTCTGCACAATCCATGATCGCGACTACACAGGCTAAAAAAACCTATGGACGATAAGGCTTGCCGTTGTCGCGGCGACTGGAAGGTGTATCAAAGTAAGCATAGTTTGTTCGGCGGCATCGTCGGTATTGTCGCAACAACTCCACCTGGTCACACGTGTGGAGCGTCAAGGAGGCCACTTTCTACGCGTTCACGCGTTCACGCGTTCACGCGTTCAAAAAGCAAGCCCGTAGCCTCCTAGGGTCAAACACGCTAGTGTCTTAGCGTGCTGCGCGCCTTCCCGAGGCCCAGTCTCACGACTTTTGATTCCATCCCAAGCCTCATCGTCAGTCGCCTGCAACTATCGAGAAGAGAGCGTCAGATACTGTCCGATAAATCTTCCTGGTTTGCTCAGCGACAACAACCGCAAAATTTTCGCGACACCACCGTAGCCAGTTCACCATTCGCAGGCCCTTTCGGACCCTTATCGCGCGCCTTATCGGCCACGTGTAGGGCGCATCTCAAGCAGTCCATTCCCATGAAAATGCGCTGCCTCCTTAGCCCTACATACGCAATGACATACTCAATCGGACGGCGGTTAGGTAATGAAGACACTCGCGCTAGACATTGAAAGGCAGGTGTACGCCGGACGCGACAACGTTCTACACTAACAATATTTCCTCGCACTCCACTTATGTCTTCCACAATTAGGCCTCAACCTTGACGCAGTTCTCCTCTCAAACTCTAGAACAAGAGAAGCCATCAGCATAGTATCTCGGATCTTCGCCGCTCGCGTCCCAGTCGATTTCCACAGAATATAGCAGACTTAGCCAAGCCATGGTACATGCCACGGAGGATACGAATGCGAAGCCACAAGACGCGACAACACCTTTGACGCAGAGTACTGTTATCAAGGATGGATCGGATAGTTTCCCTAAGAATGACGTAGTCATCAGCTACCGAGGTGGCATCATCGAGAACAGACACAACGTACACGCAGCCATTGTTGATGCCTCTGGCAAACTACTCTACACAATTGGCGACTACCAAAGGATGACGCTTGCGCGATCGTCAACGAAGCCAATTCAGACCCTTGCGATCTTGGAAACTGGAGCTGCGGAGAGATTCGATTACGATGACGCAGATGTAGCGCTCATGTGCGCTTCGCATAGTAGTGAACCTCGACATATCGAACGAGCACAAGCGATGATGAAGAAGACGGGAGAGAAAGAGAAGGTTCTCACATGTGGTGGACACCCCGCTCAGAACGCTGCTATCAATCGCGCGTGGATCAAAGAAGATTTTACACCGACTGCTATCTACAACAATTGCTCTGGAAAACATGTCGGTATGGTAGCAGGTGCGTTGTGTCTGGGCGCTACGGCTCACGACTACTACCTACATGAGCATGCCATGCAGCAGTGCGTGTACCGAGCTGTTGAGGACATAAGCGGGCTTACTAAGAAAGAGGTGCTATGGACTGTCGACGGATGCAATCTTCCAACACCAGCAATGCCTCTTCCGAACCTCGCGCTCATGTTTGCCAGGCTTGCGGATGCCGCTGACCTTTCCGATGGTCCCTCGAAAGAGACACTAGATCAGAGAACACAACATCTAGCTCGGATTCACAAGTGCATGGCCAGCTACCCTGGACTGGTTGCTGGCGAAGGTCGCTTCGACACAGCGCTCATGACGCCTTATAGTGGGCAGGTCGTTGGCAAGATCGGAGCAGATGCCTGCTATGCAGTCGCTGTCCGCGCCGTGCCCGACGCAGATTTGGCTGGGATGAATCACGGTGCTATAGGAATCGCCGTTAAGGTCGAAGACGGCAACCTCGATGTTTTGTATGCTGCGGTCATGGAAATACTGGAACAGTTGAACATCGGCTCAAGCGAAGTGAGGCAGTCGTTGGACGGTTGGCGATATCCCAAAATTGTCAATACTGCAGGTGTTGTCACGGGGGGTTACGAACATTGCTTCAAGGTACGAAGTGTGGTGTAGTAATAATCTTGTAGAACAGTATCGACGCATATATTACCAGTCCTCTATAGCCCTCTGAACCGAGCTGCCGCAACATACCGCCCATACAAACCGAGACAAGGTGTTGACAACCCTTTTAGGTATCAGGGATTGGGCGGCGTGGCCAGGAAGCATTCCATCAGCCGCGTCGTGAAAGGGATCAGACCTAGAAGAAGCTCATCTAGCTCCATACCCAACTCTGACTCCTTGCCCAACGTGGGAAAACTGGCCATCTTCAAAAGCATGGAACCCACCTCTTTACAGAATCCTGGAAGCGCCGTACTATCACACTCACGCCATGCTCGGATCTCTTCAACCTTCATGAAGTAAGGACGTCCCGCCTTCTTCTTCTCCACTGGCAGGGCTTTGAAGCCGGTTAATATGGCTTGGCCATCGCCGGAAAGACCAGTAGCCTCGCGGTACTCGACAAGTGTTCGCGTGCATGTTAGCCATTTTTCCAGAGCTCCTTTGTACTTCTCGTACTTGCTGCTTTCCAGTCCCTCCCTGAGCTCTTCACTATATTTCACGGCCATCATGTCGATGTGTCCCACAACCTTTTGCATCTCTGCAACGTCTTGGCGTTCGGGATTCTGTGATTCGAAAAGACCAAGGAGCTGGATTCCCAGCTTACCCCGATCATGGAGGAACTGGGCGTCCATACCATTTTCTGTCAAGTTGGCCCTGTCCTTGACGGATGACTCACTGGCTTTCCCTGGGTTACTGCCGACTTGGGATCTGCTCTGTTTACGCTTGCTGTTCTCCAAAGCTGTGATTCCAGTACCCGCACGCCTTTTTGGAGGTATCACCACAGAAACACCGTGTGTGGTACGGGTTTGTGAAATGTCCTGTTGTGTGGAAGATGGTTTTTTCAGTGATCTGGTCTTGGAGGCTGGGACATTGGGATACTCTTTGGATTTGGAACTGTTTGAAACGCCGGTCGGAGAAAAGTGAGCGAGCTCATCCGTACTGGTATCAGGCGATGGCGACATGCTGCGGATACGCCTGGAGTTACCGGCGCGTACGGCGTCCATGAAGCTTGTTGGCGGTTTGGGATCCTCGGTTTCGGGCGCGGCGTCAGAGGATTTCCCTTTGCGTCTATCATCTTCGGCCTTACGACAGGCACGTTGGATGATATAGCCGAACACGTTTAGTCGGATCCTGGATCGCGGAATGTTAGTCCTCATCGTTCTACTACTGAGCTGCTATGAACTGACTTGTTTCGATCATCAGGATCTCCATAGATGAGGTGTCTCGGGTACCCTCTCTCGGCGAACTCTGAAGCGTTCTTGGATTTGGGAGCAGACTCGGCATCAAGGGCTTCACTGAGCGCCCCAGTAACATCAGGAGTAGTGAGAAACTCTGCTACCACTCCGTCACTCCATATCCTAGGCCCAGCCCCCTCGAGACACTCGTTGACAGTTTCGTCCAGAGTAATACGCTGGCTGACAAGTGCTTCGCGTATGGCGTTTCTTGACTTGTAAAGCAGCGCAATTGCATGAACCTTGTCGTTCGTGGCTTTCCAGAATTTTCGAATTGTATCATTCGACTTGAATCCTGGTCGTCCTGGCTTTGTGGGGTCGGTGAACCCGTTTAGCAGCCCCAGGCGAGAAAGGTATGATGAAGCCTTGGTTGATCCTCTGGTGCATTCTTGGATCAGGGCTGTAAATTCTGGTGGCATAGCCAGGAACTGTGACGACAATCTATTGCTGCCAGCTTTTTGATTCGGTTAGAAAAGACTTTCAACGCTTGCTTGTGTGGATCCGAACATACATTATATTTGCCAGATGCTGTTTGTAACAATATCGTCGTCCTTGCCACCTTTGGTATCTGGATCAGGGCAGGGGGGACAACGGTACAAGTCGTGCGTAGAACGGTATTTGACAATCTTGAGTGTAGTACCATGAAGCTGGCGTGCAAAACGGGAGCACAGTCTATCAGTTATAACATGATGGTGATGTCCCTTTACAGCTGTATCTTGTTCACCAAGACTGACCTGTCGCTTCGGCGACTAGGCGTAGAGCTACCACGGCGATGAAACGGGGAGGATTTCCGCTTGGCAGGGAGTATTACATCCCATCGTACGACACGTATCCCCGGTCCGACTTGAGATATACATACTCAATGCCATATCCGCACTAGCGGTGGCTGGATTCTGCATCGCATTCTACTGCATGGGTATTATTTCACGCTTACAAGTACGTGGTTTCGAGGATAACTAATGTTTCAACCTTCGAAGTTCCTATTACAGGATGAGCACAAGCTGTACAAGACCCCTGATATTAGCTTTACGAGAAAGCTCAGGTCATATTCTGGAGTTCGCTCTCTTCATCACGAGCAAGCTGCCACAGGTCTTGATCATACTGTCACACATTCTGCTCTTATCTAGAATATGCAATTTCGGGGAACGTGTTCTAGCGTAGAAGACTCTTTGCGTGATCGGCAAAGAGGAGGACCTTCATAGCGCTATTAAGGATGGAAATACTGGTCGAAATGATGTTGAGCAGCGAGATATCATGGTAAGCTATCCGATAGGCCAGGAGCTGGTCTGAGAGCGTCCTTCCAAGGTTCGCTAAAGTTACGTGGAAGCTATGGCCTGTCCCTTTCTAGCTCCCCTGTTTTGCACCGACGGAAAGGGCTGGGTTCATGCTTTAGCAATCACACGTGCCTTACCGGACGGGTGTAGCAAAGCCGTTGCCGCATTTCGTGCTTCCATAGGATTCTATGAGCTGTACGTCAGCCCTACCTTGAAGGTAATCATTGCATCCTTCGTGCAAGATCTGAGAGACCAATGCTTCGTGATAAACTCACATCACAGCGAGAATCTGGCGTCTTCATTAAGTCCGCCTGACATCGGGAATAAAGAACTGCCCAGGCCGCCCAGATGCCGTTACCGATGACATCTACGTAGCGTAGGCAACAGTATCCACAAGCCTGAACCCCTGGGGAAGAAAAGAAAGCAAATTCTGCAGTTGGATTCAACGGGTGGCTGTGACAACGCCCATAGGCCGACTGGGGGCTTTTGGCTAGTCGAGCCGAGTGCATGCAGGTATGAGTCCGAATCACACGTTGACGAGTGATGGAAAATGTGAGGAAGTGATGAGCACGGCTACCGGTGAAGCTTTAGGAATCCTACATGGCGTTTGCTCCCTGGCCTGGTAGTGTGCACGCACTTCATGTCACTTGGCAGCTGATACACAAACACCGCCGCTAACTCCATTCAACCATGGAGCCAACCGCGCCGCATTGCTGATCCTGCCCAGCGATGACTAGCGACTCCTTTATTTCGGCAACGTACCGCCCCGTTTAATTTTACGTGTCGGAGGCGTACGCCACTGGAGCCGAAACGAGATTAGGAAACTAGGAGCCGGACTGCGTCTGTGGCGTCGCCTTAACCGACTTTCCGACACTTGAGGTTCCGATGCAGGGGTAGTATCTTCCGATCCTTGGTGTAGACCGGCCCGAGAGATAGTTCGTACATCAATCAAAGTGTGGCGTTGCTTTGATCGGGTAGAAAGAATGGATTGAGAACATCTGCTTGCTTCCATCATGCCATTTACTGCCCATTTTCCAGCGAAGAAGCAAACTCACAGAACTCCTGACCCACGACGATAGACATGAAAGGCGTAAAAGGTCTAATCGAACCCAAAAGCCTGGCGAGCCAACATGCTGACCTCTCCAGTTCCACGAGACTGATCTCGCGTTGCCTTGTCCAAAATTGACAACAAACCGCATGCCATAAGAAAGAATGCCACAAGGAAGAGTTTGCGGACTGACCATACGATACATAACCATATTAGAGTTAACCAAGAGATTATGAGAGCTGTCCATGTGCGACCGGGTTCCGTGGATACAGTGGGGGCTCCCGTAGACTCAACCGCTTGATTTGAGTGTTCGATCTCTTGGGAAGGACGCTCCCGTATTTTCACACATGCACGCCGAATGATCCAGCAAGACACAAGCGTTTTGATGCTGTGAGGAACACGTCAGCTAGCTCTCAGACCCTCTGAGATAATACTGACTTATTGCGATCTTGATCATCTTCATACAAGAGGTTATCGGGATGAACATAGTCCTGGTTCAGTTCGTCGATGTCGTTGGCGCGTGACTTGAAGCCACTATCGTGGTTCCATAACAAGGGACCGTACTTTTTCATGAGTGGCTCCACGTTCGCATCGAGAAAGGTAGGTTGCGAACGTATCGCCTCACATAGTTCTTCCACGGAGAGGTACGTGCCAGAGATTTGATCCACAGTCTCTTTAGTCGCTTTGTTGAGGTCGCCGGCTGTGCCCTCGTATCTGGGCCGTCCTCGTTTGGTTCCGCCTTTGTCGCCTACAGAGGGTTGTCGGAGTCCCAAAGGCTCGGTGTAATGGTGAACTCGGGCTGTTTTGGAAGTAGCTTCCAGAAGCTTTTCTAATGTTTCGGGTGGTTTGGGGGTCGCCATGTGAGGAGCCGCACCGAGAGACAGCATTTGGAGCCAAAGCAGGTGGCGAGTTGCGAAACTGGAAGGATGTCAGTCAAGATATCAGATAGTGGATGCGTTGTTTTTGGCGCCCGAAATGGTCACATCTCCCATAAAGTACCCACGAATCCGTGAAGATCGCTTACCTGTCGGAGTTGTACGAGTCGGTAGAAATAGAGAGGTGTTGAGTCAGAGATGTTAGGCACGAGCTGGATTATGCAACAAGAACTCAGCTTGAGAGAGTAGATGATTTAAGTACGCAGACAAACCTTGAGCCCTCGCCGTCCTCCCACAGCAACTCTCAGAACGAACAGCGTGGCTTAGAGACATATGCTATTCCGGGCTTGTCTCAGTGAAGTTGTTGTTCGAGCGAGACCCGGCTCGCTGCCACTGAAACATCCTGGCTTTTTACAAAGCTCATGGCCACGCATTTTGAGTGAGACATGCCAGGTGGGCAGATGGACTTTTGTTGGTGCCAAAAGGTTTGAACCGAAAACTGGCTCACTGTCTCGGATGCTTCTACGGTAGCTTGACCTCCTGACAGGCAGGAAAACGTGGTTGAATAGCGATGTCGGGTTTTTCTCGGTGTTTCCAGCAGTGCGATCATGGCTTGTGGTTTGCGTCGCTGGCAAGACAAACCAGTCGGTGTGACTGCGACCAGTGGGTCTCATTTGCCGACATCTTTAACGACGCATCGGCCTAGATTCCAGGATGTTCTTTCTTGAGGTCCTGCACATATGCCAGTCTTGTGTTGTGGTGTTTGTTGCAGGTCGGGTGAAGTGGAAGCCGCGAAGAGGGCACCTGCAGCTAGCGCGAACGCGTGACGTCACGCACCATTACGTGCCATGAAGGATGGTAACTGAAAACAGAGCCTGAAGGCCTTCGCAACGGTATCATTATCAAAGTTTTGAACAGTAGTGCTGTGGAGTAAGTTAGGATAGTGTGGGAAGGTCACAATCATTGGGTTGTAGTCGATCGACTTCTTCCCACTTGCTACCTTTTCGTCAAAAGTGCCCAGCCGTCCTTCAAAACATCACCAAACGCTCGACCATCCTGTCAACGCCCACACAGAGTAGCCAACAAACACAAACTTTTTTTAGGACCGCTTTTGCGCCACTCACCTCATTCAGAGCTGTCCAACTTCTCTATCATCGCTAGCAGCTCATTCTGAATGTCCACCTCTTGCTTGACTTTGACCCTCTTCGACTCTGGTACAGCGCTCGCTGCGGTGGCCTCAGCGTTCCGATTAGAAGTGAAACCTGCATATACTGCAGCCATATCACCGGGAACAGGTCTGGGTCGCTTCCGCATGGCTGCTGCTGGGATGTCAAAGTACGGTGAGCCCTGGATAGCCCTGTCGCTGATGCTCAGTGGCTTGATGTTACCGTCGATAGGACCAGGAACGTAGGGGCTGGGCTTGAGCATAGCCGGCATGGTACCGCTGAGCGAGATTTGCATGCTAGCCTTGATTCTCTTCGCCTGCGCTTCCTCTGCTGCTCTCTTCACGCGCCAGTCAGGGGTCTGTTGTCCTGATGAAGCTGGGCGACCACAGAACTCATATTCTGCTAGTTTGGAGCAACGAAGTGGACCCCTGGCAAATACAGTGGTAGAATTTTCGAGATGTGCTGGCCGGCCACGATTTGGCCTGCTGGCTTTGATGTTGCCCAGGTTGTCAAAATCGTAGGGCCAAAATGTGCTGAGCTCCTTCGCGGTATATGTTTGGGAGTTGTAGACTGCGTAGCAGGCTTTATCGTCGAGGTATACGTACCTTGGAGGCTCCTCTCTGCCATAGATGATGGGACGTGGTACCTTTGCCATGTACATCTTCCAGGTCGGATGACCGCGGACTGTAGTCTTCGACCGCATAACGAAGGTCTTGTTGGAGTCGCCGTTGCCATCGCCGTCGCGCCAAAGGATTCGCATTCGTTTGCCGTCGGAGACCATTGTATTCTCCCGGCCGGGGGTTGCTGCTGCAATGTACCCAGGTTTGACCATGATGTATCCGTCTGGGTGTTATTTTACCTTACCTTCCAGAAAATTTGACGTATGCAGGCGGATACAGGGGTCTGCGGGAGCTGGGGATCGCAGGGCTGCTTATTTGATGCCTGGAATCATGAATGGAAAAGAAAGGGGGACTTACCACTGAAGTGAATGATGATGATGATGATGATGATGATGAAGGAAAGCTCGGTTAGAACGATATGGGGGAGGGAAGAGGAGTCGTGCAATGAGAGAGGAGTATTATATAGAACTTCAAGAGCTCTGCTGCCAGCGAAGGCGGAAGCCAGTAACCACGTGGCAAGTGAGACGTACCTTGAAATCCACCATGTTCCACTACCACGAGGTTTAGACAAGAGGAATGATGGGTGTTGATAAGATGCCGCGCTATATAATCAGGGTCTCCAGCAAGACAGCTCGTAGCTATCAGACATTCCACACAACAAACTAAATGTTCGATGACCTGCGATCAACGAGACTGGCATTAGCTCGTCTCAAAGGCCTATGCTGCTCTTTGTGAAGACGCCACACAACGACTAAAACGGGTGCTTGCAATTGACGTGGAAAACTTGACGAAAAGTTCCACGATAGAAATACATTACTGCTCGACACGAACACTGTACAATGACAAAAGGTATCTTTGAAGAGCGTGGTTCTACGGCGACATCGGAATGGCTCGATTTCACGGCATTGTAGGAGCTGAAAGGAGTGTTGCGAGTGATTCTGGACGAAAAGTGTGTAATTGCATTCTTGCGGCATCTCGTCGATGGTCCGTGACGATGATGATGATGGTGCGGTCGAGTCGGACCTTCCTGGCGGATTGATGTCAACGATGTTGGCTCGGGCCAATCAAAGACGCCAAGAAAACGGTAGGTCATCCAGATCGAACTTCACGACCGCCACCACTCGCATCGCCAGACCCAACGCTCGCTGGATCCCCGAGCATCAATTGCGCGAGACAACACACATAAAGCAGTCACGATGCTCGCACGACACGCACCTGCCTCATCGGCGCTCAGCGCGGCCGCCCACCGAACGCTGCCCGCGGCTTCGGCAGCTACTCGCCTTTCGGCCGCAGCCCCCCAGAACCGCACACAGAAGAGGACGCTCGCAACGGTCCAGGATGCGCCACCAAAGAGGACATACGGCGGCTTGAAGGACCAGGACAGGATCTTCCAGAACCTGTACGGACACCATGGCGCGGACTTGAAGAGCGCGCAGAAGTACGGTGATTGGCACAAGACGAAGGAGATCCTGCTCAAGGGTCACGAATGGGTGTGTAGAGGCAATCGTACACGGCATACGAATTAAGGCTGACGGGTATAGATCATCTCTGAGATCAAGGCATCTGGTCTCCGTGGCCGAGGTGGTGCTGGTTTCCCCTCTGGTCTGAAATGGGTAGGCAGCGTCAAGATCTCCTACCGCGATTTCTGCTAATGGTTGCAGTCATTCATGAACTTCAAGGACTGGGACAAGGATAGCAAGCCCCGCTACCTGGTCGTCAACGCCGACGAAGGTGAGCCCGGAACCTGCAAGGACCGCGAGATTATGCGCAAGGACCCCCACAAGCTCATCGAGGGCTGCCTCGTCGCTGGCCGTGCCATGAACGCTACCGCCGCCTACATCTACATCCGAGGAGAATTCTACCACGAAGCCACCGTACTCCAGCGCGCCATCCAGGAGGCATACCAAGCCGGTCTTATCGGCAAGAACGCCTGCGGTTCCGGATACGACTTTGATGTCTACATCCACCGAGGAATGGGCGCCTACGTCTGTGGTGAGGAGACCTCCCTCATCGAGTCGCTAGAGGGCAAGCCCGGAAAGCCTCGCTTGAAGCCTCCGTTCCCCGCTGCTGTCGGTCTTTTCGGATGCCCTTCCACTGTCGCCAACGTCGAGACTATCGCTGTCGCACCCACAATTTGCCGACGAGGAGGCAGCTGGTTCGCCGGCTTCGGTCGTGAGCGCAACCAGGGTACCAAGCTGTTTGCCATCTCCGGTCACGTCAACCACCCTTGCACAGTAGAGGAGGAGATGTCCATCCCTCTCCGCGAGCTCATCGACAAGCACTGCGGTGGTGTCCGTGGCGGTTGGGACAACCTGAAAGCTATCATTCCTGGTGGTTCCTCGACCCCCGTTCTGCCCAAGCACATCTGCGACGACCAACTGATGGACTTTGACGCGCTCAAGGACTCGCAGTCTGGATTCGGTACCGCCGCTGTCATCGTCATGGACCAGTCCACAGATATCGTCCGCGCCATCACCCGTCTTGCCAAGTTCTACCACCACGAGTCCTGCGGTCAGTGCACACCATGCCGTGAGGGATCAAAGTGGACTCACCAGATCATGGACCGCTTCTCCAAGGGCCAGGGTCGTGAGCGTGAGATCGACATGCTCCAGGAGTTGACCAAGCAGGTCGAGGGTCACACCATCTGCGCGTTGGGCGAGGCCTTCGCATGGCCTCTCCAGGGTCTCATCAGGCATTTCAGGCCAGAGCTTGAGGCTAGAATGCAGGACTATGGATTGAAGAACGGTGGTCAGGCGCTGGCAGGTGGATGGGCACATGATTCCGCCAAGAAGGGCCTTCTCGTCTCGCCCGGCCAGTAGAGGAAGAGCTGGGAGATTTGTACTATGCATTTTCCGTGTGTTTGAATTTTGATTTCGGCGTGCAATTACTTTGAAGAGCTGAGCTGTAAATAGTTTCTCGGCGCAAATAAAGCAAGATTGAAATTGACTCGCATGACATCCTTTCTCGCAGCCATGACAGCAACGCCGGAAACGCCTTGCAAACTAAAGTAACAGTATTTCCCTCGCCCTCGCTCTCATGTCCCCATGCAAATCTGGATAAACTCCTCCCTCGAAATCGCGTTATCGTTGTCCATGTCGAACTCCTCAATCATAGCTACCAACTCATCATGCGACAGCGCCTCACCCAACTCCCTCGCAACACGTGTAAGATCCTGCAGGGTAATCGTTCCCTTCCCGCCCTCGTCAAATAGCTCAAAAGCCCTAAGAATCTCATCTCTCGGATCACGACTCAAAATCCTCTGCGCCATGAGCGTCTGGAACGCCTGAAAGCTCAGCAACTGTCTTCCAGGCGCCGCATACTGCTGCTGTTGCTGTTGTCTCGAACTCTGCTTCCCACCCTGCGTCCCATACTGTTGCAAAATACCCAGAATCTCCTGCTTGGGCAAATCAAACCCGAGTGCTTTCATAGCGACTTTGAGCTCGTGGTAGTCGATGTAGCCGTCCTTGTCGAGGTCGAAGAGGTTGAAGGCTTCGCCGATTTCTTCTCGTTGTTCTTCTGTGAGCTCCGCGAGGGAGGCTGCGCCGGAGGCTTCCATGCGTTGGGCGGTTTCGCGCGCGGCGCGCTCGCGTTCTAGGCGCTCGGATTCGAGGCGTTGGGCGTTTTTGGGGTTGGGTGGGAAGGCTGGTGTGCTGCTGAAGGTGGGTTGCGGTTGGGTGGGCTGTTGGGGTGGTGCGGTGCGGTTTAGGCCGTAGCGCGGGCCGGGGCCGAGGGGGTTAGAGGATGTCGCCATGGGTAGGTTTGTGGTGGTTGTGGTTGAGGATGGGTGTTGTGGGATTGGTGGGGTGCGCGATGTGGTGGTGGACTTGCGCGCGCGGTTTGATGGGCGAAAAATAGGCCCAATGAAAATTGCGAGGGTTCACGAAGGTTGCAAAGATATCCCGTTGAGTTGCGACAATTCTCCTCGCTGTCTGGAGATTCTCGATGTGGACGAAGATGCGCAGTTGTTTGGGACGCGAGGCGCGTCGGGCGTGCGAGCTTAGCTGCAGCTCTAGCGCGATTTGGCCTGGCAGTGGGGAATTGAGTTGTGTAGGGCTGACAGAGGCCCCGGCATTCAAACACGATGTATATTCTGGTACAATATTAGATTTAGTACCATTTCATTGATTCTCCATCCCAAAGCAATCCCAGTACCTTCCTCCGTTCGATCTGTTTCCATCACGGAGGACCCCCCGATTACTGCCACGAATCTCCATGCAGCTGATCGAACCACCGAGGCAGTTAGAGCGCAAGCAATATGCATTGCATGTAAGCTACCCACATTCGACTGCCTATCGGACCTTCAATCTTCACATGATCTGAAAGACGCTTGCCTTATCGACCAAGCCTGCACTTGGAATGACGCAGTAAAGCGGCTGAGAGGAGGGCGTGAAGTAAGGGAGCGTAACGTCTCACCAGGCGCAAAAACAAGTCCTTTGTCTGGCACGCCTTCTTCCCAGCCAGAATTACAGTCAGACATCTTTGGCTAGACCGGTCTCTTCCTTACAATGTGAGTCCGGTTGCGCGAGGATTTGTTGCCAAGGCTGTCTTCAGTCACCAGGCAGCCGTAGGTAGCAACAGGTATCCATCAGGCATCTTTTCGCACAAGTCGCGCCCAGAAAGCGTGTCGTATTATTCGTCAATCGCTGTCTCGCTTTGTCATGTGTGCAGCGGCTGCGACCGTATCGAAGAGTCTTTTGCTGGCAATCGTGTTTAGGAGAGGCACACGTGACGCCCGGTGACGGGTTAGCGCAATTTTGACGTGCCTTCCTCCTAAGTGCAACCTCACCTTTGCTTGTCCCTCCAAACTCTCGCGCCCGTCGCTCTTTCCCTTCCATGACGGCCATTTCACTACTTAATCAGTGCCGCGCCTGATCTTCTTACTAATTCCACTCTTTACTCTTTTGCTCCTCGCAGCAAACCCCCACCGCGCCTTGTTCTCGTCCGCCCATTCCTTGGCGCGTTTTCCGCGAAGCTCTCATCAACACCTGCCTCTCTAAGAGCTGCAGCGCCTCGATTCTATCAACCACACCCCACAACCTCACGACTTTCCAGCGCATTGCTAGCCAACTAGACACCAGCACACGCGCAACCCGTCGGACACGCTCAAAATGTCCTTCGGCGGTGGTTTCGGGGGCTTTGGCTCCAACAACAACAACCAGTCCACTGGCTTCGGTGGATTTGGCTCAACCAACAACAACACATCGACTGGTATGTACAGACTCTTGCTTGAATTCTTGGATCCCTTTACGCGCGACCGCTTCGATGCGCCCTGCGACATCGCCACGGCCTCCTCGACGAACCGTGTCTAACTTGCCCTCCGCCTCAGGCTTCGGCTCAAACGCGAACACCGGGACGAGCATATTCGGTGGCGGCGCAAACAACACGGGCAGCACAATGTTCGGTGGCGGCAACAACGCCAGCTCGAGCTCGCCTTTCGGCGGCTCAGGTACGTGGACCGGTTGCGCTTCACTATCGCGTCGCTATTTGGATCACTCCGCGTTTTGCGAGGTCGCTATTTGAGGTGCTACAGGGTCGCCAATAACGCTACGTGTTCCGGTGCTCCATCGCGATAGCCTCGACCTTCACGCGGATCCATTTTTCACGACCCGGACCAAAGACTAACTTTCCCTACAGGAGGCTTCGGCGCTAACACGGCACCCAAAACCACTTTCGGTTCGCAACCTTTCGGCAGTTCGACAACAGGTGGCGGTCTCTTTGGCGGTGGAGGTGCTTCAGGTGGCAGCGCGTTCGGCGGCGGCGGCGGCGGCTTCGGAGCGTCGAACAACAACACTACCTCAGCTTTCGGCGCCAGCAACACGAACACTGGAGGTGGTCTTTTTGGCCAGGCCAAGCCGGCAACGGGCTTCGGCGCTTCAACAACAACTAGCGGAGGTCTATTCGGAGGCGGCAACACCAGCAGCGGCTTCGGATCTACCAACGCGAACACCACAACGGGCGGTTTTGGTTCCAGCACTACTGGCGGTTTTGGTGCAGGCAACGCCCCACCTCCAAACAACGGTACCGCCAGTACTCCGTTCCAGGCATTCCAGGAGAAGGATGGCACAGGCAACGCGCAGTCGCAGTACCAGACCATCACCTTCCAGCAACCGTACACCAACTACTCCCTCGAGGAGCTACGAGTAGCCGACTATAACCAGGGCAGGCGGTATGGCAACCAAAATGGCCAAGCTGGAGCGTTCGGACAGAGCACTGGTTTCGGCGGATTTGGTAGCAACAACAACACCACCGCTTCTACCGGCGGCTTCGGTGCAGCGGCCAACACTGGCGGCAGCTTGTTCGGCGGCGGCAATACCAACACCGGTACCACATCAGCATTCGGTCAGAGCACCGGTTCTGCGTTCGGAGCAAACAACAACACTGCGAGCGGCGGTCTTTTCGGTCAGAACAAGCCTGCCACTGGTGGACTATTCGGCTCAAACAACAACACCACAACTGGAACCACTGGTGGCCTCTTCGGAGGTGGCGCTCCTGCGACAAACAACACTACAGGTGGGTTTGGGTCTGGAGGCGGCGGTTTCGGTGCATCCACAAACACTGGTGGTGGTCTGTTTGGTCAGAACAAGCCTGCGACTGGCGGCGGTCTCTTCGGAGGCGGTGCCGCGACCAACACCACCTCAACACCTTTCGGAGGTGGTGCCACGAACACTGGTGGCGCGTTTGGTCAATCGAACACCACCGGCGGTGGTCTCTTTGGTCAATCCAACAACCAGGCCTCCTCTACCCCCGCGTTCGGAGCCAACAACACCGCCACAAACACCGGCGGCGGTCTCTTCGGCAACAGCACGGGTGGAGGCTTTGGACAGAACAACCAGGCTCCTGCTCAGAACAACACCTCCGGAGGTCTCTTCGGCGGTGGCGGTGGTGGCTTCGGTCAGAACAACAACAACCAGCAAAAGCCCGGTGGCCTCTTCGGCGGTGCAAGCACTGGCAACACGGGCGGCGGCGGTCTCTTTGGTCAAGCCAACCAGACCCAGCCAGCTTCTGGCGGCTTGTTCGGTGGTTCTACTGCTAACAATAACACCAACAACACTGGAGGTGGGCTGTTCGGGCAGAAGCCTGCTACTGGCGGCAGTTCTCTATTCGGCGGCAACAATGCTAACACTGGATCATCTGGTGGAGGCTTGTTCGGCGGTCTTGGGAACAACAACAACACCCAGCAGAACACAGGAGGTGGTCTCTTTGGTGGTGGTCAGAACAACAACCAACAAAAGCCTGGCGGGTTGTTTGGCGGCTCTACATCGAACCAGAACACTGGAGGCGGTCTCTTTGGCGGCGGAATGGGACAGCAGAACAACCAACAACAGGGTCTTGGTGGCTCACTCTTCTCGAACCAGAATCAGCAACAGGAGCAGCCGAGCCTCAGCAACAGCTTGTTCGGGGCTTCGGGAAGCTCTCTTTTGAACACGTCGATGAACACCAACCCTTACGGCAACGACGCCCTCTTCGCTGGCCTTGCTACCCCAACACAGAGCCCTGGCCCAATCGCCACCCCCTTGTCGAGCAGTCAGAAGAACAAGAAGAACGCCATACTTCCTCAGCACAAGCTCAACCCGGCTGCTTCGACACGTCTTCTTACACCGCAAAACAAGAGGGGCGGTTATGGATTCTCATACTCCACATACGGCACTCCAGTTGGTGGTGCGAGTCAGAACGGTGGCCAACTCGGCGGCAGCCTGTTTGCGAGCGGCAGTCTGTCTCGATCCCTGGGTAAGAGCCTTTCCACGAGCAACCTCCGAAACAGCTTCACACCCGAGACAAATAGCATACTAGCACCAGGTGCCTTCTCCAACACGGGACGCAACTTCGGTAACGGCAGTCTCAAGCGACTCAACATCAACCGTTCAATCGCCAACCGGGCCCCACTGTTTGACGAGCCTTCACAGAAGCGCGTCAGCTTTGCTGGTGGTGAGAGCCCGAACGGTGGTGCCAACGGAGAGACTGCGTTGGTCGTCAGGCAAGACGAGGAAGATGCTTCTCCCCGGTCCAACAAGGACACCAACGGCGAACCTTCTCGCCCAGCAATGCAGCAAGTTAATGGAACGGAACTCGCCCGCGTTTCAGAGGAGCACGTCCTTACCCCCAAGTCCTCTGCTTCCATCAACGTTCAACCGGGTCAGGACCCCAAGCCAGGCGAGTACTGGTCAAGCCCCTCGCTGGATCAGCTGAGGAGGATGAGCAAGCAGGACCTCAAGAGCGTACCCGACTTCATTGTCGGTCGTCACAACATTGGCCAGATCAAGTTCAACCACGGCAAGCCTGTCGATCTGTCCGAAGTCGATCTTGACAGACTGTTCGGTGACATTGTACAGCTCAATGCTCGTAACGCAACCGTGTACGGAGAGAGCTGCACCTGCCTGCCAAAGCCACCGCTAGGCAGCGCCCTGAACCAGCCTTCCGAGATTGTCCTTGGTAACTCTTGGCCTCGTAACAGGGCTGGCAAGAAGGACGTCAAGCATCTCGAGCGTCTCAAGCGAGTAGCTGGCACTACTTTCATCAAGTACAACCAGTCCACTGGCGAATGGACCTTCTCTGTTCCCCACTTCTCGTCTTACGGTCTGGACTACGACGACTACAGCGAAGACGAAGGCGAAGACGAAGATGCGTCAAGCGATCTCAGCGACGTCCCTGACACCCCCGCTGAGCAGCAGCACCGCTCGAGCCAGATGACCAGCACTCCCCAAGACGACTCCTTCATGAGCCCACAGTCGCAGTCTAGCCCTGATGACACCT